TTCAAGCAAGATTTGGGGGGAATGGAGTTACCTGGCTGACGCCCACTTTTCCTCCCCAGTACGTGGGCGCCCTCGAGGACATGCTGCAGGCCCTGAAAGTCCACGCGAGGTGAGTGCACGCGACCAGAGGGGCTTCAAATGAGTGCCATTAGCGGCCACAGGGGTAGGCTCTGTGCGGGACCCCTAGGCTCTGGTCCCTGCTGGGACCTTTACCTGAACTGGGGGCAGTGGGCAGGTTTTCTTTTTCCACGTCTCACCATCTAGCAAGCCGGTCCCTGAGGTGATCAATGAATATTCCCGCAAGGTTGACTTTCTGAAGGGCATGCTGCAGGCGGAGAAGCTGGTGAGCACGGGAGCCTCTTTCCTCAGCTTCCTCAGCCCCATCAGGCTCTCCTGAGCCCCCAGGACCCGACCCTGTGGTGACCCCTCTTTCTTCTTCGGTAGACCTCCTCCTCGGAGAAGGCACTGGCCAACCAGTTGCTGGCCCCCGGCCGTGTGCCAACCACAGCAAGGGAGCGGGTGCCTGCCACCAAGACGGTCCATCTTCAGTCCCGGGCGCGATACACCAGCGAGATGCGGAGTGAGCTGCTAGGCACGGTAGGGGCTCCCTCCCTGGTCCTTGGGATCCCTTCAGTCTGGGACAGGAGTTCAGTGCCAGGGGGTGGCCAGAACAACAAATGTTATCAAGAACAGGGACCTTAGGGGGCCTCTCCCCTAGGCCATAAAACATGACTTCCCAACAGAGGGACATTCTGGCCAGGACTTTGCTAGAGGTATAGGAGTTTGTTTCATAAGTGGTACATGTTTGGTTAAGACACAGAGTTGGCCCAGTGCAAGGTTTGGCTCCTGGCTTGCCACTTGCCACGTGCTGCAGATCGACAAGATTATTTTTCATCTGTAAAATAGGATGACAGCACTTTATATAGATCTGCTAAACTGTTCAACATATGAGCTGTTGACATTGCCAGTTTATAAATGAGGAAACTGAGGCTCAGAGGGTGCAGGACTAGCTCAGGGCCCTGACTAAGGGTGCAGGGGTTCTGAGGGCAGAAAGGACAGTTTTGGGGGCATGACAAGGTGGGTGATTTCCTGCCTGTCCTTTTTCCCACAGGATTCTGCAGGAGGTGAGTCGCCCTGAGCAGAACAGAACTCAAGTCTCAGCTGCCTGGGACATGACATGTGTCCTTGCTGCTCCCCATCCCTTGTGCCCCGTTTGGGTCCCTCTGGGTCCATCACCAAGTCATGTCTGGAGGTGGGGCAGCTGGGACAGAGGAGGTGGTCCCCAGCAGAAACAGGAGGGAGGGACCTGGGGCAAGAGGAAACCCAGACCAAGATGAGGAAAACATCCCAGACAAGGAGGCCTTGGAGCTAGGGCTTTGAGGCCTGGTGAGTTGGGAAAGGGCCTTTGGGTAGCAGACCTATCCCAGGGAATTTCTGGTCAAGAAGCTAGAACACAGAAAACCAATCCTGTCCTCCTCTCTGCTTGGTCTGTTCCTCTTCCAGAGCCCAAGCTGGACGTGAGAAAGAGAAGGTATCTCCAGCCCTTGGGCAGCCCTTAGGCAGCCCTTGGGCTCCCACTGGGGGGAAGGAGGGCTGGACAAACCTCGAACCGCTGAGGAGCTCCCACAAGTGTCTAAGTCACCCATCAGACACCACTTCTGGGAAGACTTTACCCAGAAGCCTGAGCAAATAAGGGGAAACCGAGCCCCAAGTATGGCAGTGGCTGCAACCATAACCTCTGGGTTCCCTGGGAACATGTTTGTCTCTTCCCCTCCCCCACCCTGTCTCCTGTCCACCTGCCCACTTATGTGTGAGGTCAGTGGGGTGGCAGGGCCCAGGCCAGGGGATGAGAAGCAGTCGGCAGCTGAGCTGGACCTCATCCTGCAACAACAACAGAACCTCCAGGAGAAACTGGCAGAAGAAATGCTAGGCCTCGCCCGGAGCCTTAAGACCAACACACTGGCCGCCCAGACTGTCATCAAGAAAGACAACCAGGTACGGGCACTATGGGAGCTCTGCAGCTTCTGCCCTGGGGCGTCAGAGAAGGTTGCCTGGTAGAGGGACGTTGTGGCTGGGACTTGGCTGGGTAAATAGTTTAGCAGAAGGTAAAAATGGCATTTCCAGCAAAGGAAACAGCACCAGCGAGGGTTAAGAGGTACTGACTTGCCCCAGGGCGGTCAGGAGAGAGGCCACCCTTGGCCCCAGTCCTGCTGATACTCTCCCCACCTCACTCCTAGACCCTGACACACTCACTCAAGATGGCCGACCAGAACTTGGAGAAGCTGAAGACAGAATCAGAGCGACTGGAACAGCATGCACAGAAATCAGTCAACTGGCTGCTTTGGGCCATGCTTATCATTGTCTGCTTCATTTTCATCAGCATGATCCTCTTCATCCGTATCATGCCCAAACTCAAATAAAGACCTGGCCCAGCCCACCCATCTGTCTATCTGCCTTTCACCCACGCCCAGAGGTCCCCTTTGGAGTGGAAAGCAAGATGGCAAAGCCATTGGAGGCCCTGGAGAGCCACAAAGACTACCTGAGCAGGGGAGGGAGACCAGGCTAGGGGCAGAGGTGGTGACTCAATAAAGCCACGCCCATTTCCCCTTGGTACCTACCCCGCAGCGAACAAGGTGGGGCCTCTAAAAGCCCCAGGAACCCCCAGCCTGCTTAGTGTCAGAGCCAAACACAGAGCCTCAGGCCTGTGGAGTCAGGGCGAGGCCTGGAGGGTGGGGTAGGAATGGGACCGTGTCTGGAGGTCAGCCCGGAGGAGGGGCATCCGTGCCGGGACATCCTTGCAGTTGAAAGTGGAAATTTAGGGGCAGTGCTCAGCACAGCCTAAGCTCAGGACATTGCAGATGCTTCACACAGTCATTCAGCAAACACAGGAGGGTTGGTGGACACCCTGCCCTGCTCAAGCCATAGTCTGGTCATTTCAGATGAGGACTTGAGGGCACTGGAGATGGGACCCTGGAAGGGATGATGAGTGGGAGTCCAGGGAAACAGTGGGTCCTGGCCTCTGCCCTCCCCCGCTTCAGATACTAGGGGCAAAGCCTGAGGGTGGTGACCAGGGCAGCTCGGTGAGGAAGGGTGGCTGGGTGCACAGGAAGGGCCCGTTTCAGGGCCCTGGAGCATGAGCAGGCACTGTAGGACACTCAGGGAGGTCCCCATGTGGCTCCACGTCAACACGGGTGCAAAACCACCAGGGTGAGCTTTTTAGAAGCTCTAGTGACAACCATTTAAAAATAGATCATAAAAACTACATACCTGTGACCCAGGATTGGTTCGGTATTAAGGAGCTTGTTAATAGCCACATGAATGCATCAGGGAACAAAAACATAGAGTAGACAGGATGAAATGGCACTTTGCACTGTTGCTGAATAGTAGTACAAAGATCTGTTACTCAAAGTCTTAATACTAAATGAGGAGGAGATGGACTTTGTCCTCATTTAACTGAAAAACCTCAAGCCAAAGGCAGCATTGAGTTTAATGGACAAATACTGAAAGCTCTACCATCAAAGTGAGGAGGTGGGCATACCCGTGGCCCACCCACCTCCCCCTGTGATTTAACATTGGAGGTGTTGGTCAATGCAAGTAGACAAGAAAACACATGAGACAGAAAACTGAGAAAAGAGACAAAGTATTTGCAGATGATATGACTGTATGAAAGACCCAAACGAACTAAAAAGCTGTTTTCTGTTTTCTTTTTTCTTTGTTTTTTAATTTATTTTTTATTGAATGTATTGGGGTGACATTGGTTAGTAAACTGTATAGGTTTCAGGGGCACAATTTTATAACTACATCACCTGTATATTGTACTGTGTGTTCACCACCCCAAGTCAAGTCTCCAACGCCATTTTAAAAAGCTATTTTGCCCTGGCCAGCATGGCTCAGTTGGCTGGGCGTCTCCCCACAAAGAGAAAAGTCCCTGATGTGATTCTTGGTCAGGGCACATGCCTGGGTTGCAGGCCTGGTCCCCAACTGATCCATCTCACATCCATGTTTCTTTCTCCCTCCCTTCCCCTCTCCCTAAAAAATAAATACATAAAATCTTTTTTAAAATAAAATACATAAAAAACTATTTTAATAAGATAATTCAATAAACTAGCAAGAGACTTAATATTTAAATTGGTTTCCTATATGCAAAATACCTTCAAAATATACTAAAAGATCCCATTCATAATAGCAACAAAGTAGATACACTACCTGGTTAAACTAGCTTCCTGGATACAGGAAGCGCTGCTAAAAATCAACAAGACTTAGAAAAGATTTGCAGGAAATGAAATACAAATGGTCTCTAAATTATTTCACTGACCAGGTTAAACGAGATTTAAAACGAAATACATTTGCGGAAAATTGTGGTAACATCGGGGTTGCAAAGGTTTGGGAAAAAACCAATGTTTCTTTCACTGACAAACACATGTATCAACAGCACAGCATCACTGAACACACTGGAAACACAGTGTGTTCCCAACTTAAAACATATAGATAGGTCCCTTTGCTGGGGCAATTCCACTTCTAGGGGTTTACCCCAGAGATAATCCTCACATGCGTGGCCAGAGAAATTTGCACGTGAATGTTTTTTCAGTATTGTCTGTAAAGAGAAAAATATTTATATTTGTAGGATCTCTCCATAAGGAGACACAATTAAGTGCTGCTTCTGGAGACAGCGGAGCATGAGAAATTCACTTTTGCCCTGGGCATCCTTTTATTGTTTGAACTTTCTAAACATACATCTAGCTATTTAGAGAAATATTTTTGTAAATAGATAAGTGTTAAGTTCGCCACAACCGCCGGTCTTCAGACAAATAGTCTTGAGAGAGGGCGAGTCACCGGCACCATACAGACAGCAAGTCGGTGTCTTGGCTGGACTCGAACCTTAGGTTGCTGAAGAGTCCACCTCCCACGTAGCCAGACCCCGCCCGGCTCCTCCCCTCGGCTCCGCCCCCGTTTTGCAGCACCGCCCCAGCAGCTGGGTCCGGCCTACAGTTAAGGTCCAACTCGGGCTCAGGCTTCGCTGAGAGTAGACCCAGGCTCGGAGCCCCTGACGCTGGGACAGGTGACCCCAGGCGGGAGCGGTCCGCGCGGCGCGTAGCCCGGGCGGGGATCCCCGGGGACCTCTGAGGGGTGGTATCCGTGGGCTCCGTGCGCCTCCGGGGACGAGGTTGCGTCTGCGCGGGGGTTAACGCGAGCAGGGCCCAGGAAGCGAGATGGCGTCACGGTTATTTGCATAGTGCTTTTCCGGGTTGCGCCGCAGGGTCTTTTAAGGACCAATCGCGTGCGTCTGTGCAAATAGAGCGGGGCTGGGGAACGCGCCCGCGACTGTGGAGTTGGCTGTCACTAGGTTGCCCACTCCGCGCGTCCTTCCGCGGTGCCCTCCTTCAGGTGCGTCCTCCTTCCGTGTTCACAGGCCGCCCGCCGACCACCCCCGCCACGCGCGGGCCACGACGGCCCCCGCAGGATCCGTCGGTCGGCCCCGGGACACCCGAGTGGCTCCGCCCCCAGGTCGATGCCCACCCGGGCCCCCCATCATACCCACGGCTCCCGGGGGGAACTGCAGACCCGCCCTCCTGGCCCAGGGCCCCCGGTGAGTCTGCACGGGAGGAGGGTCCCCAGGCCGAGCGTAGGCAGAGGATGTGTCCCGCAGTTTAGAGCGTCCCGTTACCCTCGTTAACTCCAAACCGTGATTCCTACGGCGTTTGCAGCATCTGGTGCCTCGAGGCCTTGAAAAGAGCGTCCCCGGCTGCCTGTGCCAACCGCATCCAGGAGCTCACAGGGCAAGGCCCAAGAAGATTGTATTTGAGGATGAACTGCCCTCCCAGGCCCTCCGGGGCACCAAGAAGCCTGTTAGATCCATCCCTGATGGGCATATGCCTCGGCCCAACCCAGTGCCCGACTATGAGCTGTAAGTGGCCCCCGTGTGGTTACTGATGCCTGGGGACAGGGAAGGGGCACTGAGTCTGGGGCTTTGACAGGTGAATAAGAGTTGCCCAATTAGTAAGAGGAAAAAAGGGGCATTTTGAGCAGGGAGTCCAGCATGAGTAAAGAAAAAACGGTTACACTGATTGGGGGAAAGGCAGGGGTTCTTTACACTCACACTCTGCCCTGCCTTCCACACGCCCCTCCTGGCAGCAAGTATCCAGCAGTGAGAAGTGAGAGGGAGCGGAGCTGCTACGCGGCCGTGTTTCAGGACCAGTACGCAGAGTTCTTGGAGCTCCAGCAGCAGCTGGGCTCTGCACAGAAAAAGCTCCAGCAGCTGAAGGCCCTGCTGACCTCACTGCCCTCTCCCCGAAGCCAGGTCAGCAACCAGGTGGAAACCCCTGCCCCTCAGCCCTTCCGGGTGGCCCTTCCCTTTGGGTCCAGATCTCCAAATTGTTCCTCCTCCAGACCGGGCAGGCACATCAGCCCTTAACGGCCTCCCCAGACAGGCCACCATGTCTCTCTGAGCCTCAGTTTCCCCATCTCCCTTGGGTCCAGCACTCCCTCAGTCCCCCTCCTCCTCCCCTTGCAGAAGGAGGCTCAAGTAGCCGCCCGTGTCTGGAGGGAATTTGAGAAGAAGCGGACGGTGAGTCGTAGTGTCCTGGATCCCACAGCCTGGCCTTTGCACCCCTGACACTCCCATAAGTGCCCAGTTTCACAGAAAGAAAACTGAGGCTCAGAGAGGAAACACAAGGGGTCAAGCAGCTTGAGGGCCAGCGGCCAGACTGCCACAAGGACTTCCCTGGCTCTCACCCTACCCAGGACCCCATCTTTCTGGACAAACAGGCTCGCTGCTGCTACCTGAAGGGCAAACTAAAGCACCTCAAGGCACAGATCCAGAAATTCGACAACCGAGGAGACAGCGAGGGTTCTGTGTTCTTCTGAGCTACCTGGCAGACAGGCAGAGGGACACATTGGAGTGGGGTGTCCCACCTCACCCTTGCTTCCCTTTCTACCTCCTAGCCTTAGCTCTTGCTCTTCTCCCCACCTAGGGTAGCTTCCCCTGATTGCAAATGCCTCAGGCTTTGAGACTTAGCTCTGATGACCCCTACACAAGAAATTCTTCCCAGGACCTCCTCCTGGACCCCTAACCCTGACCCCATGGGATCCCAGATCTCAGCCCATCCCCTGGATGCAGGTGCTGCTTTCCAATCCCAGTGGAATAAACATTTCTTAAATATATACTATATATAGCTGCTTAATACTCTGTTGTCACCAAAAAATTCTCCCATTTTCCAGAGGAAAGAAAAAATCAGGGTTCCAATATATGGCCTCTCCGAGGTCTCCGGGCATGGTATGAGCCCTGGTCTGTCCAGTGGGGCTCCTTCTCTTCCAAGAGCCTCAAGTGGCCCTTTCGGTGGGAAGGTGCGGGGCCAAGTGTTTCCACGGGTCCAGTAATGGAGGTAAAGGACCCTAGGGCCTTGCTGGGGCAGCCCCCGGAGAATTCCTGTGCTGCGATGCTGGGGACCACCTGAAGGGGGCAGGTGCAGCTCGCCTACAGGAGGCCCTGACACCAACCAGTTAAATGGGTCCCTGTGATTTTCCACTTCTGGGCATTGCAAGCTGAACCGTGATTGGTGCTGGGCAATGTGGGCACAGTTCACACGCCCGGCCCTGAGCTCAGGTGTGTGAGACGCTGGTGGTGCCAGGCTCCCGTGGGGCCATGTGCTGGTGCCGCCTTTGAGCCCTGGCCTTTCAGGGGAGCCACAAGGGACAGGGACAATCAGGGAAGCAGACTGTGGGCACAGAGGCCTCAGTCCCTGGGTCCGTCCTCGCGGAGCCCCCATTCTCAGGGCAGGCGGCCCTGGGCCCAGGCTGAGAGAGCAACAGTGGAGGGCCTGGGGGCAGTCTTCCCGGCCAGGGAGGCTCAGGACGACTCGCAGCAGGGGCCCTATGGGCAGGGTTTTGTAGCAGATCAGCAGTCCGGCCTGGACAAACGTCTAAGTCTCTAGCCTGCGGACTGGAAGCAAAGCAGATGCAGGGGTCTCGCTTAGTCCTCAGAGGGCCTGTGCATCTGAGAAATCCATTCCAACTGAGTGGACATACGTCCATGTGCCCAACGGGGCATGTCAGAAGATGCTGGCCGAGTCACCTCCATCCTACTCCCACGTCTCTCCCCTTCTGGGGGCAGGGCATACTCACAAGACCCTCATTCAGTTCCACAGACAATGGCCTCACACATACACACCCCATCTTCCCAGGCTTCCAAGATGGAGGCCGGGGTGCTAACGGGGAGGGCTAAGCACTAGCTGGGTGAGACCCAGGCTCTTCCACTGCTTTCAAAGGGCGTCTCTGATGGCGGGTTTGTCTCTGCCTGATAAGGCCTCAGGGCCAAGGTGCCACCCCCACCTCCATCCCGTCACCACCATGCAGGCCCCTTCTCGCTACCCCTTAGAGCCACAGTCCCTGGCAACAACTCCCGTAGGTGCCCTTCCCGCTGCAGGCTGCAAACTTGAGGCCAGGATGGCCAGGTCCCATGTCAACTCAATGAAGTCTACATTTCAAAGTCTGTGCGGAAGGGAGGGGGAGAGGGAGAGAAACATCAATCAGCTGCCTCCCATGTGCCCCGACCTGGGGACCTGGCCCACAACCCAGGGCCCACAACAACTCAGGCATGTGCCCTGATGGGGCACCAAACCAGCAACCTTTCAGTTCACAAGCCAGTACTTAATCCACTGAGCCACACGAGCCAGAGCTGCAAGTTCTTTAGTTACATAAAGATTCAGACTATCTCAGACACAAAAGGGGAAGTCTGAGCTCATGGAACTAAACCAACCAAGGGTTTCCAGGTATGGCTGGATCCAGGGGCTCCTAAGGCATTCCTGGGAAATTGATCCTCTTTTGGCTCTGCTCTGATTATATCCTCCTAGTTCCAAATCCTCCCATCCAATCTGCTGGCCAGTTCTAGGCCACATGCCCTCCCAGAACCAGTCACTGTGGCCAGAGGAAAGGAGGGCTCTGTCTGGGCTATCATGTGACAGAATTAGCCCCAGATGTTTTTTCTGAGGACACTGGGACCCAGATGCCATGATTAAGGGCTGATCAAAAAAAGACAATGTGTTTGGTCCAGGGCATGTGTGAATCTATGAGGCTCACTCTGAAGCCAGAGCCTGAATTTGAACCTGAGTCATCCCCTAGGCTTAACTCCTGCAGACTCACTGGCTGACCTCCGCCCCACGCCACCCCAGCTTCGTCTCCCCACAACACTGTCCAGCAAAAACAGCCAGTAGGGCTGTTGTTAGGCTGTGGGTTTTCCAGGTGGCGAGAGTGGGTCCCCATGGTGGGCTGCCCTCCCCTCAAAAGATGACAGAGGCTGTGCAGGTAGGAAACACCTTTATTAATTGGCCTTGATTCATTAACCGTGTAGTGTCCAACATGGATCACGTGTCCAGAGGAAGCCACCTGATGCACACGACCCCTGCCTGGCTGTGGCTGCCCCTCCAGTCCAGGTGCCAGGCCTCTGTCCATCACACCAGGGAAGCCAACCCCACCATCCCACAAGTTCATGCCTGAGGTGCTGAGGGACACGACTGTCTCAGGATTGGAACCTCAGTCCCTCCCTCCACCTTGGCCAGGGGTTTCTTGGGAGGACGAGGCTGGAGCCTGGACGATCAGTCAACTTTTTGGTTTCATTATCATTTAAAAAACAGAAAAGACAAACATTTCACAGTCTTTAAAAAATAGGAGTCTGAGGAGAGAGGCTGGGGTCCTCTGTCTGGGGATCTCCCCTGAGGCTCAAGCAGCCATATCCCTTGAGGTCTGCAGACCGGGCCAAGGTGCCCTCGGTCCTATCCAGTCACTGGCCCGAGCCGTAGGGCCAGTTGAAGGTACTTCCGGACAGCAGCATGTCTCGGATCAGTGTCTCGATGGGCGTCTTGCCCACTAGGCGCATGAAGAACAGCTGGGAGATGAGGGAGGCAGGGACTGCACGCAGGGCAGGGAGCCGCAGCAGCAGGCGCCCGAAGCGCTGGGGCTGGGACGGGTACTGGGCCCGTACGTACTCGGTGAGGGCCACCTGCGCCTTCTCCTGCAGGCTCTCCACATGCGCTGGGTCTGAAAGGCCACAGGCGTCTGGGAGGACAAAGGCAAGGTCAGATGGGTAGGATGTGGCAGGACACAGGGTCCCAGGGGTTAGTGGAAGCACCACTGGGGCTATGTCCATGGAGGGAAGGGGGTATTCAGGAGGCGGGAGGCGGGGCCTGGGGCACAAGTGGGGATGCCTGAGGCAGTAGTCCTCCAGAGACAGGGAGGTGGCCTCGTCTGCGGACACCACCACAACGGCGCAGGCAGTGATACCTCAAGGGTGGACGGCACCCCAACTGAGGCCTTGACAGGGAGACAAGCTCTAGTCCATGTCAAGGAAAACAGGGCTGGGGAGGGGACTTGGGGAGAAAGGCAAAGCCCAGGGGCGCCCGGGGCGTGAGTGAACGTGACAGTGTCTAGATGGGGCCCCTTGAAGGTGGGGGGCAGGAGTGTTCTGGGGGAAGAAGGAAGGCAAAGCCATATTTCTCCCATGAAAACCACCTCCCAGAATGGCCTGCGTCTGGTTCCTGCATCCCTGGCCCCAAAAAGACAGCTAGTGGGGTCTCGAACCTTCCAGAGTAGAGAGCCACCTGTCCCTGGAATTAGGTGGGACTTTGGCAGCTGGATGGTCACAACGGGCAAAGAGGGTGTCAGGACAGCCTGGCCCCTCCTCAACAGGGAGAACCTCAAAGCCACACCCCGTCTCAATCCAGGGCAGTGCTGGGGGCCAGGAGGCTGTCCTAGGGGCCGGTGTGGGGGCTCTGGCTCAGAGGTCTGGGGTCACAGAAATCAGGGAGTGGGGTCCCAGAGCACCCGTCTGTTTCTGAGCACCACTTCCTAAGTGCTAAGTAGGATGCACCCTAATCTGGGGTCTGGCATCAGAGGATTTGGAGGGGCGCTGAGAAGCCCAAACGAGGTGTCAGAGACCTCCCCTCCTGGGCCCCTGCCCCCTGCTGGCAGTGCTGAGCACAAGGAGCGCTGATGAGGGGATGGAGAAGGGGGGTCTCTGAGAGCCCAGGAATCAGGCGGAGAGGCTGTGGGGACCGAGTCACCAGTCCAGACCCAGCCTGGCGCCTGGGCACCAGAGTCAGAGTCCCTAGGGAGACCTGGGACCTGGGGTGGGGACATCAAGGGGACATATAGCACCTCCTCCATGCCCCCCTTAGCACTCACAGCAGATGCAGGGCCACAGGTCTGGCAGGCAGGGGGTCAGGGAATGGAGGGCTCTGGGGTCACACCTCCCCACCCCCCGCAGAGTCCCCCAGTTCCCCCTTTGGAGCACATCTTACCAGGTGTGAACAGCGCGATGGCCTTGAGGCAGCCGTACTCAGCGGAGTCGACCTGCAGGCGGCCCAGCTTGTCCACCTGCTCCTGGAAGGCACGCACCTGATCCATGAAGGCCACGGCGCGCTCAGCGGCCATGGGCGCGGCGTGCAGACCAGCTGCGGCCAGCAGCGGCGCCGTGTGCAGGGGCAGCGCCGCCTGCGCGGCGTTCAGCACGAACAGCTCGCTCCAGCTCAGGCGCAGTAGCGCCACCTGGTCGGCCACCGGCAGGTCAGGGAAGAAGGGCGCGTGGCGAGCCCACTCCACTGTGCTGAACAGCAGCCGCGCAGCCAGCTCACACACGTTGTCGATTCCCAACACTGCGCCCGAGGAACCGCTGCCCGCGCCAAAGCGCCCCGCTGCTGCGGGGTAGGGCTCGGCGCGCAGCAGCTGCGCGATCAGCTCCGACACAGGCTGCCCTGGGAAGAGGTCCCCACCTGCCACCGCTGCAGCCAGCACAGAGCCCGGGGGGCTGCCCGAGGAGGCAGCCACAGCGCCCGGCAGCGAGTGCGGGATGCGGCCACGCTGGACCGCTGCAAGAGGGGACAGAAATGAGGCAGGAGAGAGGGGAAGGGGTAGAGGAGGAGAGGGAAGGGAGAGGGGGCAGAGACGGGGGAGGAATGAGAAAAATGGGTAAGAGGAGGATGGAGGAGCATGGGGGAGTGAGAGGGGGCAGGTAGGAGGAGAGGAGGAGGAGGAAGAGGAGGGGAGGAGGAAGAGGAGGGAAGGAAGGGAAAAGTGGATATCCAGAGAATCAGGGGTAGGGGGCAGATGGGGAGGAATAAAGGGAGAAAGACACGGTCATCAGAGGGTCACTCAGCCCCTTCCCTCTACAGCCCACCACCCCCAGCCTTTCCCTGAAACCTCCAACCCCACGCCATGGGCACACAGCTTGCCGGGACGCCAGGGGCCAGGGCCCTGCAGGCCCCTCTCTGCTCTCCCCTGTGCCTGCGGCCTGAGCCCTTGTCCAGGTCCACCCCCACCCCACTTCCTACAGAGAAGGGCCATGGTGGGGAGGACCTTCCCAGGTGCGAATGGGACCACTGGGTGAGGGCGAATTTCATGCATGCCTGGCCCCTCCCACTGGGCTGCATGAGCTCCATTCTGCAGCCAGGGGGGCCTGGCCTGCCAACCTTGCCCCATCTGTCAATCACGGGAGTGCTAGAGCTGAGCATGGGGCCAGGGAAGAGGAACCGTCCTAGAGCCTGGGTCCCCTGGCCAGCCTGTCCCTACAGCAGGTCCTCTCTCCTATGGAGATGGGACCATTTTTCTAGCTACCAGCCCCGCCCACAAGAGGAGCTGTCTGTCTGGGCCCCTGCAGTAGCCCCAGTGCTGAGAATGGAGTCCTGGACAGTAGCAGGTGCTCAATAAACATCAGCTGCCCTCAGTGGCCTGGACTGTGAGGGAGGAGGGCACTCACTGCTTGCCTCAGCCAGTGTCCCCAGTGACCAGGTAGGTGGGAAGAGGGGCAGACTAGGCTGGGTGCCAGGCAGAGGCTAACTGATGAGCTCTAATGAGCTGGCAGGCCCTGTCTCACCACCTCCATGAACTCCTGGTCAACCTATGCAGAGCAAATGGGGAGGGAGACATGAGTGGGAGCCAGGGGCGGAAGCAGGGCCTTGGGCTGAGCCTGGCTCTCAGGGGCTGGGGAACCTTCCTCTTCGCCCTTTGCTCACTAGGTTCTAAGCCCCACCCCCACTATTCTTCCTTCCCCTGGCCATGTTCCCACCTCAGGGCCTTTGTACTTGCTGTCCCCACTTCCTGAGTATCCTTTCCCCAGTCTTCCTCCTCATTCAGCCCAGAATGTATGGGTTCAAGCCCCAACCACAACTCTACTGCTCGCATACCCTGGCAAAACGGCCTCAACTCTCTGCTCTGAGCTCAGTTTCCCCATCTGTAAGATTTAGGAAATGATAAAGATTATGACACCAGTCACTGAATTTCGTAAGAATCTATCTGACCTGATTAGAACAGCACCTGGCACACAGTAAGGGCAAAATGGATAGCAATTCAAACCAAGAAACATTTATTGAGCACCTTCTATGTTTCTGGTCCTGGTCTAAAGGCACTGGGGTTAGGTCAGAAAACAAGACAGAAATCCTCGTCCTCAGAGAACAGACATTCTGATGAGGGGCCAAAGCAAGGCAAACGGTGCAAAATCAAGGGGGATGATAAAGGGTAGTCAGGAGGGTGTCTATGAGGAGGTGCTGTGTGAGCAAACCTTAAAAGAAGTGAGGGAGGGAGCCGTGCTAGCGCCTGGGGGAAGAACGTGTCCCGCGGAAGGAACAGCCCATACAAAGGCCCTGAGGTAGGACTGTGCTTGGGGTATGAGCTGCCATTAGGACGGCATCCACCCCTGAGACAGGACCTCCGAAGCCCTGATCTGAAGTACATGAGGATTTTAAGTCCAATGGACAAGTAGAGGCAAATCCAGGTGGGGGGAATGGGGCAGGAAAGTCACCTCAAACTTAAAAGGACCAAAGGGAGTGATTAGATGCTTTAAGAGACAGAGTCTGAGCAGCCCTTCCCAGCTTCCGGAGAAAAGGCCTGGCAGAGAAGAAACCAGCGTTCGACCAGAGAGACTCAATTTAAGTGCAGAGAAGAACGGCCAACCTAGTGCCTGTGAGCCTAGGCAGAGACAGCACAGCCGGCATGGGGGCCAGGTTCGGCTGCGGTGCCCCCAGGGCCCTGGTGCAAGTATTTCAGTTCCACTTCGAGTCTAAGGGTGGAGTTCCAGGCCCAGTTGCCAGCACACGTCCACCCAGGTCCCCAGGGCAGAGACAAGAGGCTGGGCCTCCCTCTGGCTCCCAGGGCCAAGGGTCAGGCGGGAGGACAGGCTGCCCTTTGACTTAATTGGGTAAATTCCTGCCTTGGGCAAACATAAGGCAGGGGTGGAGCAGGGAGGGAAAGCAAGTCAAATAAAAAAATGTCCTTGTTCAGAAAGCGGTGGCTAGACTGGGGGCGGGGGCGGGGGGTGCCACTGAGGTGTCAGAGCCAGGGCACCTGCCTCTGAGGGCTGTGGGGAGGGGGCAGCAGGAGAACAGTCCTAACCCAGGCCCCAGTCAGGGCATCCCTGGCCGCCCCAGCTCCAGCACAGCCACCAGCAGCCACGGGTAATTGGATTCCTGCAGCCCTGGGCCAGGCCAAGGCCTGCAGGATCTCAGGTCGGTGTTAACGAGGTTAGCGGGCACAGGCCTCGAGAGTGGGAGCGAAGGACAGGCCACTTGTCTACCTCACCCCTGGGGAAGACTCACCCTCCTTCCTCATGCCCACCCGGAAACACTTCTTGAGGCGGCAGTATTGGCACTGGTTACGGTGATGCTGGTCAATCTGGCAGTCCCGGTTGGACCTACGGCCATGCAGAGGTCACCATAGGGGTCACCGTGATACCCACACCCTGCTCCCCAAGCCACCCTGTGAGCCAGCTCTGAAGGCTGTGACTGGGAAACACCAGCACGCTCCCCCCCCCCGCCCACCCCCGGCTGGGCAGGCGGTCCCAAAGGGACACGGAGCCTAAGCCTGCAGGTCTGCAAACAAGGATGGACAATTGGGAGTGGTGGCGGGTGAACAGGAGTCTGTCACGGAGGAGATTAGCATACAAGGGGGGGTACATTGGCACTGGGTTTCGAAGACAGCATAGTTCCCCAGGTGAATGGAAAAGACAACCACAAGCAAAGAGTGCAAGGAGAGCAAAGGGCTGGCAATGTGAAAACACAGAGGCCTAACAGACTTTCGGGCAGGCTCAGGGGTAGGGTCTTGTTCCAAGGGCAACGTGAGAGCCAAGAAGGCCCACGGCCAGGGAGCTGGGCTTTCTGAGTTGACTGAGAGAGCAGAGGCTCGGCCAGACCAGGGCCAGCCTATGGGGTCAGCTCTGTGGGGCCCCCATACTGTCACCCTGCACAAGACTGCCACGAATGAATGAATGAACAAACGAACTCCTGTCCCCACTTTAAGACCCTACACCCATGCCCCTTCTTCTGAGAAGATCTTCCAACTCCTAACCGAGCCCGAGAAGCCTCCCTCCTTCTGGTGGACTTCAGGGATTGTCGTTGCCTCTCCCGGGGGCGGGCCAGGTGGCCCAGCCTGTGCGGCAATGAGCTCCCTGTCCAGAGTCGACCCCAAGCAGGGAGACTCAAGTGCCTGTTCTTCAGATGCTCCTGGCACCTCTTCCCCTCGTTCCTGCCCTCCGTAACTCTCTCCACCCTGGGCTCAGGGCTCTCTGAGGCCCAGACCTGGGACAGATGCCCCGGGCTTCCAGCTGAGCTCCAAGAAGTTCATGCAGAAACAATCAGAGTAAAACACTCAATAAAGTTAAAAATCATACAACCCTCAGCTGGACACACAGCCCTGACCCTCCAGAGGCAACTTCTCCACCAAGCCTCAGTTTCCTCGTTTGGAAATGGGAGGCCCGGGGCCAACTCCTTATGACATGCGCTGGGGGAAGGGGCGGGGAGGCGATCTGAGGGGCTCCGGGGTGGTGTGAGGCCCCAGGCTGCAGCAGGGAGTGCCAAAGGCAAAGCTGAGGCTCTGGGTGGCCTCCAAGTTCCTGGATCCTGCAAGTGGAAGCCTCTGAGCCCAGGCCTCTGCCCCTAAACAGCCCAGGCCCCCAGGAGGAGGCCCTGTTAGGGTGGAGGGAGCTCAGGCAGAACCAGAACAAAGCCCAGCAGGCAGGAGGTGGGAGGGTCCTGGGCCACAGGCTGTGGGCAGCCGGCTGGAAACAGCCAGACCTGGGGTGGGTGGGTGGGCAGACAGGGGCCCAGTTCGGGGCCCCCTGACCTCAGGGGAAGCCTGGAACCTTCTGCTTCAACCTCCCCAGCTCTGGAGTTGGGACAGCCTTCCTGGTCCTCCAGATGGGGAAACAAAAAGTTCTATTACCCTACCTAACACACACATGCTTGGCCCAACCCCAGGGCCCAGCTAAGCTTCCTCCTAGGTGTCTGGCTTCCAGTTCAAGTGATCAGGGCCCTCCCTTGCTCACATACCCTCCATGGCTCCCTGTGGCCCTCAGTCCAGCATTTCAGGTCCACTCAGCTCTAACTTCTCCCATGCCTGTGTGGTCTCATCTTACAACACTGCTCCCCCAACCTGCCACTGGGTGCCTGCCTGGACCAACCCCCTCGTGCTCCAAGGCCCACCTCCCGTGGCCTCTTCCAGGCAGTCCTCCCTTACCTCCAGGGACCCCAGACCTATCCCTCTCTCAGGCCCAACCCCACGGGCTGGGGGCATCTGCATCTCACTGTGTCTCTACCAGACCCCGACGGGGCTGGACTTGGAGTCAGAGTCTCTCAGGGGGGTGAGGAGAACGTCATGCCGCAGGGGCTGTACCCTGAGGGAGCGCTGCTGAATCGGTGTGAGGCTCAGAGAGGGGCAGGGACTTCAGGTGGTGATACAGCACTGAGCTTCTAAAGAACCTGCCAGCCCCTGACAATGCCTCTTCTCCCCTGCCTTGGTGCTCCTGCCCTCAGGGAGCCTCTGGGACCCTAAAACCGCCTGAGCCCCTCCACTGTCCTCCCCAAAGACCCAGCCAGAAAGCAGGCAGTTATTCCAGCAGCAAGAATGAGGCCAGTCTGGTGGCCCAGTTAGCACTGGAGGAGGGAGGAAGCCAGCTTACACAGCCTCTCTCTCTCTCTCTCTCTCTCTCACTCACACACACACACACACACACACACACTCACGGCTACCCCAGACAGGCCCTGACCCCTGACCTGGGGCCAAACTCCAGGTGCCCAGGCACCCGCCCCATAGCCTCACCAACAAGCCCTCCCTGGGAAGGGCTCTGACCCCAACTTAGCTGCCACCCTCTTTTTCTATTTATTGATTTTAGAGAGAGAAAGGGAAGGGAGAGAAAAAAAGAAATATACAAACATCGATTTGTTGTGCCACTAATATATGCGTTCATTGGCTGTTTCTTGTATGTGCCCTGACCGGGAATCGAACACACAACCTTGGCCTATCCCAACAGAGCTCTAAACAATGTAGCTACCTGGCCAAGCCCCGCCCCCCTCCCCACCTTCCCAGCCCCAATATCGCCTTGCTAAGCCCCAAATGGGACACGATCTCTCCCTGGATGACCCAGAACAGACACCAGGACATCTCTGGGCCTCAGTTTTGCACATACAGAAAATGGGGCTCCCCATACTGGCTCTGCAGAGCCCAGGCATGTTCATGGAGGACTCAGAGTGGGGGCTGGTCGATGGAGCAAAAGGATGCTCACCCAAGAGTATCGGGAATGGGCCCTGGGCTGGACACCCAACTCCAGTTCCAACCAGGCCCACCCTGTCAATGGGGACTCCAACCTAGGGCAACCCAGGCCTTCCTGGGAGCATTCACCCCACCCGAAGTGGAGCCACCTAAGTTTCAGGGATTTTCCAGGAGCCCCAGGTCTCACCCCTCTCACGGCTGCGGGGGTGGAGCAGCAGAGGTGCACTCAAATCCAGCCAGCCTCCCCATCCTCCCTGCCCTCCAGAGGCGGCTTCCGGTGACCCAGAGCCCAGGGTGAGCCCAGGGGGTGTGCCCAGCCCCCCCACCCCCGCCCCGAACAACAGGGTCCCCGTGCGAAGGAGGCCGCCCTGTGCCACCCCTGCCTAGCTTTCGCCAACGCCTCCGTGGCCGGAGCGACTTTGGAAGTGATATTTGACCCCTAGGGCGCGCCGTATTGATCCCCGCGGCCGCAGACAATGGCCCCTGGACGATGTAAGCGGCATAGTCCAAGTTCCACGTTCGATTCCCGCGGGGCGCTGTACGACGATGTTCCCAAAAAAGGGGTGCCCTGAGGTTAGGGTCCCACACCTCACAGCATCCCACTCTCTCTTCGCGCGGAGATGACCCCTCTCCAGAGAAAAGCGAGGGAGGGAGGAGGAGCGAGGAACGGGGGTGGAAGGCTCAAGGGACCACCTGATGGGGGGCACCGCATCCATACAGCGCCGACTGTATACATAATCCCAGGAATGGAATGGAGAGGGGTACAGGGGGCTGTGCCCCTATCTCAGAGGGGGAGTGGAAGCCCAGGAAGGTCAGGGCCAGGCCCAAGGTGACCGAGCAGGTCAGGGCCCGGGCCAGGCCAGGCCGGGTGCAAGCGGCGGGGCGAGGATGGGAGGGCTCACCGGCAGGTGTAGCTGAGGTTGCGGCGGATGCTCCGCTTGAAGAAGCTCTTGCAGCCCTCGCAGGTGAAGACGCCGTAGTGTTTGCCGCTCGACTTGTCCCCGCACACCACGCAGTCCACCTGCAGCCCCGGCCGCTCCTCGTCGCCCGGTTCCGCGTCGCTGGCGGCGCCGGGGGGTGAGGCCGAGTCTTCCTCGGCTGCGCGCGGGTAGCCGCCTGCCTTGTCCACACCGTTCGTGTCGCCGCCGCCGCCGCCGCCGCCGCCGGGGCCGCCCCAGCCGCCGGTCACCATGGCCATAGCCCCAGGGCAGCGGGGCCGGGGCGCCCCCTCCGCGCTCCTCCCGCCGGGCACCCCTGTCGGCCCGGGGGACTCTACCCGGTGCGCATCCGACCCTGGCGCGCGGGGGACACCGACTGCACCCCCCAAAAAAGTTTTGCAGCAACTTCCTGCGACCGGTCCGCGCGCCCGGGCGGAACTGGTCGGGCCGGTTCCAGGCCAACTTTCCCACGCGTGCGCGGGGCCGGGCCCGGGGTCGGGGGGGGCGCGCTAGAGGCGCGGGCCGGGGGCCCCGGGGACTCGCGCCCCGCCGCCCTGGGGCCCCGGCGGGGGCGCGCGGGCCATGGCCCGGCCCGGGCTGCGCAGGGGGCGCCCTCTGGCCTGGCCGCCGCTCGGCTGGGTGCTACGGCCAACTTAGCGGGCCGCCATTCGGGCGCGGGAGGCCGGGGGGAAAGTTTAGCCGCAAGTTGCGCGGCCGCCCGCGGCGAGGGGGAGGGGCGGCGGGCGCGCGCCGGAGCCGGTCGCCGCGCCCCCTGGGTCCCCGAGGCCCCCCGGCGGCCGCTCGGGGCCTGCAGGGCCGCTGGCCGGCGCTTCCCGAGCTGCCGTCCCCGCTGCGGCCGCGCACGCCAGGCCTGGGCCTGAGCCTGGGCCCGAGCCTCGCTCTCGCCGCCGCTGCCGCCGCTGCCGACCCCGTGCGCCGGCCTCGCGCTGCGGCCGGTTTGACACACAACGTTCCATTCGCGGGGCGGGCGGGGGGCGGGGGCGGGGGCAGGGGCGCGCGCCGCGGACTGGGGGCGGGCGCTCGTTGCCCCGGCGACAGCCGCCCTTATAAGGGCATGGGTGGCCGTACGCTGCGCCCGGCGCCGGGGCCGGAGGGAGGGGCGAGGGCGGGTCGCGGGACCGCTTGGCCTGACCCTCCCCCTCCTCATCCCCGCCCCCGTCCTAGCTTGCTCCAACCTTAACCCCTGCCGGGCCGCGGCGGGAACCTGGGCGGCAGCTGCCCTCTGCCCTTCTACACTCTCTAAGATGCCTCTTCTAGGCCCTCCCCTCCACCTCCCGTCTTGGACGTTGCGTCGCTCCACCGCCCTCGGGGCGCCCCTCGGAAGCCCCCCATTCCCGGCAGAAGCAATAATGGGGGTCCAGTTGCACCCGGGGGGCTTGCCCATGTGCAGTACACAGGCGCACGCACGCCCGCACACCCTAGGGCATTGCACAGTTGCAAGATGGATTGTCTTTGCTTCCTCTTCCAGTAAGTCGCCGCGTCCGACCCCCACCCACCCAGTCTCTGCTTGGGCGAACACCTGGTGCTCGAAATATCTAGGGGGAAGGGATGTGGTGGTCGGCGGCTGGCGGGAGCTCGAGGTCGGGGGTTGTGGGGGGCGTCCCTCGCCAGAATTTCAAGACTGGGGGCAGGTCGCCCACCCTCCTGGCGGGGTTGGAGGTGACAGGAATGCCCACCACCCCTGCCGGAGCCTGTCCCTTCCCCTTCAATTTCCCTTTTTTCCTGTGCTTTATAGAAGGGGCTTGGCCAGGCGGCCGGCTGGACTGCAGATGTCTCTCGAAGGCTCCCGCAGCTCTCCTCCCAGCTGCCGCCGGCCTGCAAAACCTCCCCACCCCCGCAACCCCACCCAGACCCTGGGCTGGGGCCAACGAGCATTTATTAAGCGCCTTTTGAATGTTCCCAGGCCACTTTTGGCAGGAGAAGCAAGAGCCCCTGATTCTGGGCTTGTTAACGTTTAACCGGCTGGAAAAGCCCTTCCTTTCACCTTTCACCTCGTATAGTCCTGCAGGTCCTGTTGCCCGGCCTTGTCTCCTGCCCTGCCCTGCCCTACCCAGCCCAGAGCCAGACACCAGGCCACGTGGCTGGGCCCCTGACGGCTCGTAGGGGCAGGAGAGCAGTGCCCTCTGCCCCCAAGGCTCCGATGCCCTTCTTTCTCAGGAAGGAGCCTTAGAAAAAGGCACCCCCTCTCCAGATGACATCTGAAGAAACACCCTGGGGGTAGGGGGGTTATGCTTAGAAATTATGCAAAATTTAAAAGGAAACCAAGATCCTGGAAAAGCCAGCACAGCTCCCCCTCAGCTCTAGGACTCTGGGCCTCCCAGGGAGGTCTGGCTCGGTGGGAGGTGGGGAAGGTTTTGGCAGGTACAGAGAGCAAGAAGGACTAAGGTTAGCCATGAGCAAGGACCGTCCATGTGTCTAACTAGAGTGGACTTCTGTTCTGTAAGCCTTGTTGGGGGGTGGCGGTCACGGTGGTTAGAGTGGACCCTTTGGTTCTGGGGCTGCTTGGGAATGGGGGGGTGCTGGCCGGTTATTTGGGGTGAGGACAGGGATCCTCAGTCTGTTGCCTGTGTCTTCCAGGATCCTTGGTGGGTGAAGAGGGGGCTCTCAGAAAGGGAGAGAAGGTTCAGGGAAGGGATTCAGAGTGGGGCTGGGCACTAGGCCTCAGGGACACACAGCCTGGGGCCGGAGGGCAGGGTTGGAGGCTCGGGTAAGGTCTACTGCAAATCCCAGACCCTTGAGTATGTCTGACCCCTGGCAGCTGCCCTGCCCCCTCCCAGTAGCTCCACTGACCCTGCACCTCCTGGGGCCCCACCTGTGCCTGCCAGTGGAGGGGGAGAAGAGGTCCAGATCCAACCCCCTGACCCCTGCCCGCAGCCCGAGGTGACATTTGACCTTGAGGCAGCCGAGGACTGGGGACAAAGAGGCCTGGGCCCATCTGCTGAGGGGGCACCCGTGGGAACGGCCAGACCTTGCTCTGCGAGGCCTGGGAACCAGCCCCCGCCCCCTCCTCCAGCTCAGACTCCTTCCCCACCCTCCAACAGGTGGTCTTGTCTCCTATTGCGCCTTCCTCCCGCGGGCAACCTGGTGGGACAGGGCTAAGGTCATTCTTGGACTATTGGGAGGAGGGGACAGGGACAAGAGGGAATAAGGTTGGCTCCTCTGTGACACTGCCCGCCTCAGTTTCCCTGCTGCCTTCCAAGTCTGCCTCAGCCTAGAGAGAGTGCTTGGAGTCCAGAGGTTGTCAGCCACACGCTCTCCTGAGGCGTCTGTGAGTCAGGAGGACCGGGTTGAGGCCAGGTCGCTGACTGATGCTGACCTCAGGCTGGTCTTGCCCTCCCCAGCCAGAAGCAGCTGCCCACACACACCTGTACAGGTTCAGCCTGGGGAACGCCCCCACGGCCAGCCTGGGAAGAAAGCCTTGCTAATCCTCAGTTTGGGTTTCAGCTACCACCCAGGAGGGGACTGCGGGCCACTAATCCGGGCAGGCTGGGTCTTTTTTGAGACCCCACAAGGGCGGCTGGGCAGGGCGGGGTGGGGGGTGGGCAGAGTGTGACCTATGCAAATGACATGTTAATTAGATGCCTGTTATTAATCTGACACTAAAACCTCCCTGGCCTGATGTTGGAAGCCAGAATTTAGCCTCACCAGAGGCTGTCCAGGCCCTCTAGGGCCAGTGGGCCTCATGCTTGCCATGAGCACACACTCAGCTCCTCAGCGCCTGCAGTGTAGGCCCTGAGTTTCTGCTTGCAGGTGTTTAAGCTCTTCACCTTAGCTCCATGATCTTTGCACACAAACTGCAAAGCCACCTGTGGTCCCCCCTCGCTGGACCTGCACAATGCCTTTCCAGCAAACGTCCCACCCTGAAGCCCGGAGGTGGGCAGGGGAGGGTGTGCCGGCCGCCTCCCCACCACCGTGGCCCCTCCCTGGGCTTCTGGAGACAGGTGAGAGCGGGAATGTCAGCTTTGGCTATGTAACCTCACTGACCCATGAATCCCCCAGCCAGCCCTGGGGACCCTGCCCCCACAGCCAGGTCACCTTTAGCATGACCCTGCCAACCCCATTCACTGCCACGTGGTGCCTGACGAAAGACACCGAATCTTTCTCAAATGCCGGCCAACAATCCATCAAGCCCCAGGCACCAAGGTATATTAGGCCCATCACACCAGGCCAAACACGCCTCGACATGCAAAGTCATACCACATGACATCGCTCCAGAGCACTTTATGGCATGGCCTGCCACCACTGGTACATTTAGACACGGCCAGGGACAGGGCCTACAGAAAGGTCTCCCCTGGCCGGGGAGGTGGACGGGGTGGCCTGGGCCTCCCCAGGACTCTTGTGGTGGCTTCTAGCGCAGCCAGCTCCTCTGCCTGCTTGGCCTCCACTAGTGTCACCTGCTGTTCCAGCTTCCGCCGTTGCTCTTCCTGCTTCCGTTGGGCTCCTCGGAAGGCCAGGACCAGGGCTCTGGAGGGGTGAGCAGGCTGAGCCAGGAAATAGCCCGCCCCCACCCCAAGACACCCCAAGTACACCCCAAGGCTGTGTACTCCCCGATTGGGCCTTTCTGAGATCCCAGTGTCACTCAGCAGGGGCTGACACGCCAGGGGAGGTGTGGGAGGGGTTGGACTTGCAGCCCACCTTATAGGAGGGAAGCTGAAGCCCAGAGGGGGCTGGGAATGCTGCTAGGTCACCGGGGGAGAGGGACCCACCTGTGAGCCTTACATAAGTCACTGTTCAGCTTGGCACTCTGAGCACGTCTGGCTCGCCCCTTCTGAGCCACCTGTTCCAGCTCCTCCCGCAGAAACTGCAGCTGCTCCCACAGGCCCAGAGCCCTGGTGCCGAAGTGGGGAGGGAAGGGTTCACAGCCACAGCCAAGCCTGTCTTTCCTCTACCCACCCACCTCCCACAGTGTTTCCCAGGAAACACATCTGTACACAGGTGCACACCCAGCCGGCCACTGGTACACGCATCCCCCACGGGCTCTCACGCTCCACCACCGCAGCCCTCTCAGGCCGAGTATCCCCCAGCCTGGGACCCAGGCACGCACCGGGTGAGTGAGGCCGACAGTTCCTGAGCTAGCTCCTCTGGATCCTGCACTTTGCCCACCTGGCCTCCATCAGTGCCCCTGCTGCCACCAGGGAGAGCAGGGCCCTGAAGAAAGCAGAAGGGAGGGAAGTGACATTGGCCTAGTGTGCTCAGCTCAAGACGGACATTGATGTCAGACTGTGGCAGCCATAGCCCTTGCCTTCACAGAGCCCCCCGTCTCGTGAGATGCCCCGATAAGGATAAAATTACTTCCTAACAAGGGAAATAAATAACAGGTGATCTCATCTGAAGGCAGCTCAGGAGGGCTTCCTGAAGGAGGTGATGTCTGAGCTCAGACCTGCAGGAGATTCAGGACTTAACTAGACCCAGAAGGAAGTGCCCTGTGTTTCTGGCAGGGGCACAGCAGATACAAAGGCTTCAAGGTGGGAGAGATGATTCAAAAGGAGAATTCTGTAAGCCACCGAAGGCTTTAAGCAGAAGGCAGACATGATTAGACGGCAAGGGGCAAAAAGGAAGGACTCAGGGAGGAAGCTGGGGCTACTGGGGTGGAGAGGGAGGAGTATGAATAGGTCTGGGAGATAGGAAGGAAGAGGTACAGGTTTGAGTGGAAGCCACTAAATCCCTTGGAGTTTATTGGGCTCAATAACCTCAAAGAGAGAAATCCCAAAGTACAAAGTGTGAACTTTACCCTGCAGCTTACCATTCTACTCATTTCTTTGTGAAAAAATGGAAACCGAGTCTCGGCCAGAGACACCTGGCCAGTAGTGCACTGCCCTCCCTACTAGGTCCAGGCAGGGAGCCTCACCTGGGACCACGCCTCCTCATCTCCA